TAGCTGCTCAATGATCTTCTAGAAAAAGTTACGAGCGATGGTTTGCGCAGGATGACCACGGATGCTTAAGTTAGCGGCGCCGAGAAATGTCGTTGTGGAGGGATGGTCGAGTGGATAACTGTGGAGACTATTGAGAAAGTGGTAAAAAGTTCGGTATACTTATGTTCCAAACATCTTCCATTTTGTAGATTGTATTGTTCGATATGATTGCTATAATACGGTATCATGACGCATCGAAAATAGCTTTTCAATACTAAATTGACCCAATCTGACTTCTAGCAAATTAGCCGTTAAGTACATCCCATGTAGTTTTGAAACTTTTGAGGAGTTCGATTTTTTTTATTCAACGTTGTGCTTGTGACGACCGCACTTTTTATTCTCATAGTGAAACTTTCTGAAAGCAACGCCTGAAGACTTTCTTATTGACTTGACGAGGTGAAGCCAGTTGCACGATATAATAATTGCAGAACTACATTATTTTCAGATGGTCAATTATGTCAAACAATCTATACTTTCATCTTGGATAACAATGATTAAAAGACAATGATTAATCTTTATTGTGAAAGATTAACTTTTAGACAGAAGGTAAAGCATTCATGATGGATCGATCAGTTGAAGACCGATCAGAGAGGATGTAGGTCATATTTTCCAGAAGGCCAATAGAGAGGACCTAGAGCACCTAGCAATTGATACTTCAAAAAATCAGACTGCAATAAGCTCACCTCCGTTCACATTGCTGTTAAGGCCAACAATGAACACAAGAACAACCATGAGGTAATTGAACATCGCAATCATAATGTTTGATGGACTAAAAAATGTTAGTAAAATAAATGCCACCACTGAAAATAAAAAGAGCCTTGTGAGAAGGATTTTGATTTGGATGTACAATGAAACTGGCAGCTGATACATGAATGGTGAAAAAAATTTGTGGCTCCGGATTCTCTAATGCAAAATCATCTCTAACTTGCAAATTAAGCACAAAATTCTTTTTAGGTATTGGGAACTTTTCCCTATAGATTCCTTTGTTCAACAACTATAATCAAAAGCAATTGATTGTTCGGTAACAACTTGAAATTGGAGTATATGCCAGAAGAAGGAAAAAGACCTCACGCCTCAGCAAGTGGAGCACTGAAAGTCCTTGCAAGTACGATGCTATTTAAATTGATCTATGCTATCATTATGCCCTTTCGTAATTCTTAGCACATCAACAACATTAGGAGCCCATTTAACGTATCCCATCGCTTAGCAAAAACATTTGCATTACGAAATCTTAATTGAGTCCCTCACGACTTCAAAACGCATTGCCATGCTAAACCTTCTATTTCCATTATAGGCCTAATGCTTTCGGAAGATGGCTAAAACATAGCTCTGCACTAAAAATCCCGCACCAACTATTTACAGTCTTGCTTTGGCTTTCATTTTTATGCGTTCGCCTTTTTGAACCAAAACAATTTTGTGTTCCTACACAAAAGTGTAGGTCCGGATTTTGAATTTCATAAAAAAAGTTCTAAATACAAGTAAAGACGTGAACAGCTATAATAAATACAATTCAACATACTAAAATACTTTAAAAGCTCGTTCAAGGACCTACCCGCAAATTTCTTAGAATGATTACTGAAGGGCACTCCAATTTACTTGGCCGAAGTCTCACTGTGTTTACCTTGTCCAACTCTAACTAAGTTTTAGAGTCACCTTCACAACATCAGGAAGTAAACTTCAGTAACCAGCAGGTAAACCATTACCCACCAAACACATGGAAGACTTCGATAGAAATCAAAACTTGTCGTTTACCAAAAATTTTTCTGAAAAGTATTAGGTTGTCCCAAAAGTAAACTGCATTTCCAAATGAATTGAGCCGATCCCATGTTCCTAATAGACCTACGCTACCATTCGATAGAATGGAGCAAGCTCTACAGAAAAAACCACCCAAGATCCGCTTAAGTCGTAATCTAGGTAAAATAATGGGCCAAAAATCAAAAATTTTCATAGACCCTAAAAATCGGATCTCCTTCTAAAAAATTCCTCGAATTTTCAACTTGGTTTTCATAAGGTAGACACATAGAAGTACCCAGAAATATTTTCAGCGGATTTTTTCCGGAGCCCAAAATTGAGAAAAGGGGTGGTCTGAAAACGCTGTGTCATTTTTTCGGGTTTTTCATGTAAAACTTGATATTACTCGATTATAAAAGCACGTACAGGATTTATGTTTCAAAATTAGAACTAGTGAGGCTTGTAGTATACAATGACCTCATGGTTTTTTAAATGTGCCGCTACGACAGTTTGTGATCAGCTCTCGTAGCACTTTCGCTGATCTTTGAGCCCAATATAAAATGATTTTGATGCAACAGTGTATTAATGATGCATGGGACAATATTCGATAGAGCTAGAGTGCTTCACAGAACGAAATGGCTGCAAGTCTATTTCCTAACAACGGAAGCATGTTTAGCCGAAGTGGTCTTTTGGAATGGCATGTATACCATATTAAAGAGCATGAAACGCTAATTTCAAATCTGCCTTCCATAACTGCGAAACATTTGTAGAAGAGGGGTCAGAGCGTTTAATGAAGTAAGAAAAAATACGTGCAACTTGGACAAAAATCGTCTTAATATTCTTTCCAGCGCTTTGAGGGGCAGTGATAATAATCATAGCACCTTATTCAATAAATAGTTTTGAATGAAAAGTATATTACACTTGGTTGCTCTATTTGAGGGCTAGGAGGATTTTAGCACCTCATTCAAACATAATTGTACATTCATTTTTTCTCCAGTTAACGCCCATGACTCCTCGTCCACAAATGCATCTCAGATAAGAAAAAAAAGACTTGAAGTCAGCATTCTATGCTCTTCAATCCGGTATACATTCCTTCTAAAAAGGCCACTCCGACTAAACATGCCTTCCTCGTAAGTCAAATCAGAGTGTGCAAAGGGCCAAAGGGTTCATTTCTCCATTTGTGAAAACTTGTAAATAATTTTTCTTTTTTCAAGGGAGAGATCCCAAATCGCAGTGAAGAAATGGACTAAAACGCATCTTGTTAAAAGCGTCTTGATGTGTTGAACTTGCAACTTCGAACGCAAAAAAACCTTTTAACACGATATTCCAACACTGTGAATCAAACAATTGCGAAACTTTCAGAAATAAACAGCGAAACATCTCTCAAAGTCCTTTCGGAAGCTGCGTACGAACTAACTGCGACCTCCAAAATACTTGAAGAGAACTTGAACTTGAACTTGAATGTATAAAAACTGTATATGATTTGGGAGAGACAATTACAGAAGAACAAGAACTCAGATTCAAGGATACATAGACAAAGCCCAATTAACTTTGGAAGCAGCACAATCCTTGATCATCCAAATCGAAACCAAAAAAGTTGGTCTGCAACAATTAACTTTGCAAGAATCAACAGAATTCATAGGCGCTAAAACTGAATTACCACCTATACCTATCCCGACATTCAGTGGAAACATTAGCGAATTTGAGAATTTTTGGACACTTTTTAGTGCAAATATTCACAACCAAAGACTCTCAAATTTGCAAAAATTCAATTACCTTTTGCAAACCTTACGGGGGAAGCAAGAGAGGTAATAAAAAGATACCCGGTGGCAGAAGAAAATTATGACTTAGCAATTGAGGTACTTCAAACAAAGTTTGGAGACAGATCAAAAATAATCTACGATCTTCAAATGAGATTGGACAAAGCAACTGCAAGAAGTCCTTCAATATCAGATCAAAGGAAGCTGTTGGAATATTTGTTGGCAGTAACAACGCAATTAGAGAAAAAGGGAGTATCTCTGGACGGTTCCTTCATTGCTCAGAAAGTCTTGTCGAAATTCAATCGAAGCCTTCAAAGGAAGGTATTGAAAGTGCAAATAGAAGCACATCACGATGAGTGGAAGCTGATGCAGCTTCTCAACAACTTGGATAAAATAATATCCTCCGAAGAAAAAGTCGCAGATATGTTGAGAAACACAGAACCTGCGCAAAAGCAAGGTAAACAACAATTTCAGAAAAGGATTGAGGGCGTCCAAACATAAACTCAATGCCTATATTGTGGGGTTATGAATCATAATTCACTGCATTGCACAAAACTCGATACCATTCAAAAGCGGACAGACTTCCTGATGAAAAACAAAAAATGCCTGAACTGTACAAAAGCAAATCATTTTTTGAAAGAATGTAATAAGAGAGAATGCAGCATGTGTGCAGGGAAAAAGCACCACTTTTCATTATGCCCTAAGAGAATGTGCAGGCAAACTGAAGACCTGACCCAACGACGCAACAATCCAGCAGCTTCGAATCAACACAAAAGAACCAGAACAGATCTCGCAGAAAGTTCGAATCAAAGTTGTGCAGTATTTACGAACCCAAAAGAAAAAATACGGTCACATCTAGTCTCCACACCACATCAAAAGCCAGCACAATAATCAAGACAGCGTTTTTCTCCTAACAGGAGTAGCGCAGGTGCGAACAAAACTAGGAGAAGTGAAGACAATAGACATACTTCTCGATACGAGAGCGGTCAAATCCTTTATCAAGCGAAAACTTGCAGAAGACCTCCAACTGCCTACAACGGTAAACGTCGAATTATCTATCTTCACGTTTGGAAGCGATATACCAAAGAAACAGCGGTATGTAATTTCTCCGCTTCAATTCTGGGACAAGAAAGGAAATATTCACGACCTAGTACTTTGTAAGACAGAAACGATTACGGAAAAAACCAAATCCGTCTTACAAAACCAGACACCGAATTTCTTCGTAAACACAATGTAGCTCTGTCCAGGACGGAAAAAACAGGAATAAACCCTCAAGTCTTATTGGGTTGTGAACAGTTGTGGCCATTGCTGAATACATCTAGTCCTCAGCAGATACTTCCCTCTGGATTAATAGCAATCCCATCGAAGTTAGGGTACCTGGTGACGGGGCGACAGCAATGTGGGGAAATTATACGCAGTTTGGATAAAGGCTCGAGTCGCGCAATCACAACTACGCTAAGTACCTCAGAAATGATTGAGCTCGACCTTTGGGACCGGTACTGGTCCTTGGACTCGGCCGGAATAGAAGAGTATACCGGCTCAAAATACTCAGAAAAGGCGAAGATAAATGAAAAAGTTCTACAGTACTTCCACGATACTATCGAAAAAAGAAACGACGGGTACTACGTAAGGTTACCGCTTGAAGAAACATGTGACCAATTGCCAACGAACAAAGCAATAGCATACCGTCGCCTTGCTAGCGTTATGAAAATGCTACATGCAAACAGCGAATTGCTGCAGCAATATCACAGCATTTTTCAAGAACAGTTGGAGGCGGGAATACTAGAGGAGGTAGTGAATACGGTACCAGAGGTGAATGAAAAGAAACTCGTTCACTATCTTTCGCACCAACCAGTCATAATCCCTCATAAACATACCACCAAATTATGCATCGTTTTCGATGCTTCTTCACATTTCAAAGGATGCCCATCGCTTAACTATGCACTCTACCAAGGCCCTCTTATCCTACATGAACTTTACGGGATACTCTTGCGGTTCCGCATGAAGGCAAACGTGGCAATAGCTGACTTAGAGAAGGCATTCCTTCAGGTCAGACTCAACGAAAAGGACAGAGATGTAACTCGTTGCCTTTGTGTAAAAAACCCTCAACTCCAACCTGACGACGACAACATAGCAGTCTATCGATTCACCCGAGTAACCTTCGGACTGAACGTATCACCATTTTTGCGCAGCAACGATACAACATCACATAAAGCACGAGATGGAAGACAAAAAATTGGCAAATGAATTAAGTGATAACTTATTTCATTTGCCTAACTTATACGTTGATAACCTTTTTATCATGGGCGATACTTTGGACGAAGTTCTCAACAAATCCATAGCAAGTCGAGAATTATTCCAACAAATGAACATGAATCTTCGCGAATTCTTGGCAAATGACTCCAGAATTCAAGACAAGATACCTATTGAAGCAAGAATTACCGAAACTACGCAAAGAGTCCTTGGAATTTCTTGGAACTCAACGAAGGACCAATTAACCATTGACTGCGAGTTCCCAGCGATACCAAAGATCACGAAGAGAAACATCGCGAAACAAATAGCACATATACGATCCATTGGGATGGCCAATACCGCTACTTGTCCCACATAAGAAATTTCAACAAAAAGTCTGGGTAGAAGGATATTTCTGGGATCAAGAACTTTCCGAACCTCTTCAAGATGAATGGAACAAAATAAAAGGCGAAGCGCAATCGTTCAACAAAACATTCCATCGTCACGTATCAGTCAAAAATTGCGAAAACCTAGCCGTATTCGCAGATGCAAGCGAACAAGCGATGGCAGCATGTGCGTAAGTGTTTCAAGAAGACATGTCAGAGCTATTGATGGGGTAGTCAAAACTACCGTCAATAAAGTCAAAAATTACGAAACCCAAACTAGAGATGAATGCTCTAACTATGGCGACAAGATTGGCACATTTGATATGCGACATTTTGCGAAACTCATGCAACAACATTACAAACGTGTTTTTGTTCTCAGATTCCCAAATTGTTCTTAGCTGGATCAGAAACTTTTCAGTAAAAGACGATGCCGGAGTCTTCGTACATAACCGTTTGAAAGAAGTGTGAAAAATTGCGGAAGACCTTAGTCACAATGGCACTTCAGTGTATTTCGGTTACGTAGCGACAACGTGTAATCCGGCAGACGCAGGAACTCGTGGTCTATCTAAAGAATAGCTGGGCCCGTGGTAATCTACCTTACTTGCTCGCTCTTGCCCTCAATTCGCCGCGATCTCGCTCTAAGGTCATGAAAACTGTCGACGCCCTCTAGAGGTTCTCCAAAGCAATCAGTCTGGCACTCTCCAGGTCTGACGGTCCAGCTTAGAGGTGGGCACAAATGGAGATCGAAAAAAATCCGAAAAATCCCGACAACTTCAAATTTTGGACCCAAAAAGCTGACCTGCCGGCAACTTCGTGAGGTATTTTGTCGAGATTTCTGCCGCGATCTCGCCCTCAATCTGCCGGCATCTCGCCCTCATGTCAGCATAGAAAGAAAAATAGCGTGCATGTTGAGGAGTGCAACCTGCCGGCATCTCGTCGTGCCCCTACCACGTCGAGATGCCGGCAGGTTCATGACATTCATCTCGTCATTTGCCGGATTTTTGACTATTTCTTTATTTTCTATGTTTCTCTTTTGCTACTAGGCATACTTGTCATCCAAAACAGTCACAAATGTTCAAAAATCGGTGGCATGATAACTTTTTTTAGTTTGTTGCAAGATACAACGAGTTTTAAGTTCATCTGAGCTTTTGCCGATTTGAAAACTCACTGTCGGTATTTGTCTATTTTATGTTTGTTACAATTTCTTAGTTGCCACACGGTTGTCGGTAAGTATTCCTCGTTGCCTGAACAAGCTTTTCCTTGATCTTATCTTTCAGAATTTTGATAGCACAACTATCGCATGCTTGTGAAATTTCGATTTTTCGATTGTTTTCCTCGTTCAGCTTTGTTTCTACACTTCCCATCAGGCTGACGGGATCATCATCATCTGACTGCATCTTTGGCGACTAAAGTGGGCAAACTTGTTTGTTTATCTTTGCTCTGCTTACACGCTGAGTAAACCGAATGTGCATGGGGTAATCTTTCTTGTCTCAGTCCTCGAGCTCAAAATTGTAAGACGAAGTTTGAGTTGATGGCAAAGTTTTACAAAACGCCCTTCCACTAATTCTTTAGGATCGTCATTGTGCATGCAAAACGTGTTTTCCGCAGTGCTCTACCTTACCTTAGTCTTCCTTATTCAGATATCCCTATCAGTGGAGGAATTGCCACTGCTGTGACAATTTTACGAATATAACGCAAGCGCATATGCGCTTTAGTGATTACATCTATGCTCGACGTAATCACTAAAGAGTATGTTACCAAAACAATATCGCTGAATGGCGCACTACGTTTTGGAATAGTAGAAGTGAGTCCTTTCTTATTAGTTTATTCTTTGACCAGTGCGTCACCTCTGCTTCGCAGAGGCTCGCACTGGCTCTATTATTCGCATGCCTTCCTCGTTGTCCCAAAATGATGGCCTTGAAACTTACCTCGCGATGCCGATCAATACTTTGAAATGTAAACAACTACTCATTCCTAAAGCTTTTTCATGTAAGATTGGTGACTTTGAGGGAAAGAAAGTATTTTGCAAAAGATTAAATGCGATTCTGAATCAGTTAGTTATAATGGCTTTATAGTCGCCATAAAGATGACGACAACCGTGAGTGACATCATTGAGAAAAAATTTTCTCACATTCCCAAGTAAAACTTTGACAAATCGATCATCTACGCAATTACTCCTTTTGGCGCTGATCTTGCATGGAAGTAGACTTTTGCTCACTTTTCGGGCTGGAGCCCATGGTTTGTGGATTTGCTTGCTAAAAGAAACCATGACTTTGGAAAAAGTCCAATTACAGGCCCACTTTGGCGCGCGAAATGTCGCGTGGATCCGTTTGGCGCACAATTTCACATGTTCCAATTATCGGATCGGCTTGTGCTTTTGCACATTTTACCTACATGCTGATAGGGTGCTACTACCAAAATTTTAGCTCAAGACCTTTCTTGGAACTCGCTCTACGAATTTCGTGACAGACAGAAATTCACACACACACACACACACACACACACACACACACACACACACACACACACACACACACACACACACACACACACACACACACACACACACACACACACCACACACACCACACACACCACACACACACAAACACACACACACACCACACACACCACACACACCACACACACACAAACACACACACACACACACACACACGTAAACAACCCTTAGCCCGTTATTATAAGTTATGATAGTTGTTTGCTTATGTTTGTTCATTTTCTTTTCGCAGATATTCCACCAAGAAATTGATAGCATGGCAAACATGTCAAAGGCTTGTTTTGTTTTGGCCTACATTAGATGTTGTCACAGTTATTTTCCAGGATTCATTGTTTCCTTCTACTGCAGCAAGCTGCACCTAATCTAGATAAAGAGATATCAAAGCGCCAAAGGCGCGCTTAAAAAAACGTAAGTTCAGACTTTTTTCTTTCTGAAATTTTCTATAAGCCAAACGCTTTTCTCTTATGCATCACAGACAAAATTTACAGTCTGCCCCAATCCCAACCAGGCCAAAATTGGCATGGCGGGACCCGCGTCGCGAGGGTATTGCGTCACGTCCTACGGCCAGCCAGTCTGCTCTCTCCTCAATCTCGTCGCTCTCTGCGACAGTGCGCGTATGTAGCGCAGACACCTAGCGTTGCGAGTGCGCAAAATCAGCTGGCGGTTTAGCCTGATCCCGATTGAGGCAGACTGTATTTGCTTTTTTGGCTTTCGGACTCGCTCCAATTTCAGTACCGCACTACCGGTGTAACGGACGCATATCCGGGAGAACCGCGCGTGGTTCATGCAAAAGATCGAATGACAGAAGATCCCGCCGTCGACGGGCGACCGGATTGAAGCGAGGACGATATCTGTCAAGGTATTCGCTTGAAGCAGTATCTTGCTAGCACTTATTCTCCTGTCCTTTTTTCAGCTTGTGATGTCGAAAAAAGCAATACGTGCTCTTCGTTTAGCGGATTTTTTATGCTGCACATGGGTCGCGGCTACTTCTACGGATATGACAACTTCGGGTGAGCGCCATTCCCGTAAAACTTTTCTTGCCTTTTTTTTATGATTTTGTTTTTTTTTGACTTCTATTTGCCCTCTTTACTATAAGCCTATGCTACTTATTCATTGTCATGCCCGTTTGGTCAAGCATGCATGCCTTTTTCGCCTATTCTGCAAGGATAATTTTGCGCGCCAGTTTGCCACCTACTATAAAATGCGCAATCTCAACTTTCGATCGTTTTTACATGTTTTAGAGCAGGAAAGCGCAGAATTTTCTACTAACTTGAAACTGTCATCCTACAGTCTGTGTAACTTATTTTCTCCCAAGTAGGAACTATGCACTGATAAGGCCATTTTTTGCGAAGAAAAGAAAAGTAAAGATTGGCGAGGCTCTATGTTTCAGATTCTTTCGTAAGATTAAGTTTTTCAGGTAAAAATTGCTATATCGTCGGTCGCCATGTTTGTCATTATCGTCATATCCGACTCATCGAGGTGATATGTTGTTATTTGCTTCTGATTTGAGTGTATACTAGGAACTACTTTCCAATTTTTAAAGTTTGTACTTCTCCTAATTGACTTTTCAATTTTCATGCTCATCTCTCAAAAGTGTGTTCTGCTGTTTGTTCAAAAGCTCGCTGTTGCAATGATGTGCCAGGCTTAATGTTTGTCATAGGTAACCTGCATGGTTTACGGAATTCCACGATTCTCATAATTTCTTGCGACTTTTTAAGTTGGTTTACGACCGGCGGTGATCTGTCAACTGTAGAAATGTGCGATCTATTAACAAAACGATCAACTTCGGTACGATCTGTGACGAGTTTTCGGTCTAGAGTCGGCATCGCAGTGCACGACCGCAGGGTATGCTCGTTTTGCGGCTATAGAATCATTATGATTGTTTCCTTTCTGAGATCTATGCCTTTGACCAAGCAACGAAGCATGGAATAGCCGTTCTCGACGCTTATCTTTATGGTTTGTTTTCCATCGCTACCGCTTTGCTCTTTGTACTTTTGAATATCGCCGTGTGCTTATGCGCAGAAATTGCAATTAGAGCGAAGGGGGGCATCTTTTGGTTGCTAATTTGTTCAGTTTTTGATGCCATTACTCCGCTCTTTCAGTGAGGGTGGTCGTGATAAAACGTCTCAACGATTTTCTCATCAGTGGGAAGGTTTTCACCAGAGAAGGACAGTGGGAAGCGGTACCCTCGATGTTATCGAAACGATGGCTTCTGGGCGCTACGACTTTGAATGGGAAGATTTACGCTTGCGGAGGGTTAGAGGTTTCTGCCATTGCAAGTTTTCCAACTGACAATCTCAACTTTCTTGTAAGACTCGGATCAGTTCTTGAAATTAATCCTACCTGTTTCAAAGCAAATTCATAAGTGTTCTTTACAGTTACGCTAAACCAGATAATCTATACTGAAAAAGACCCCTATTTAGGTGATTCCTCTCAGTTGTTACCGGTACATCCCTGCATGTTTAGCTAGGATGGAGCACGGTTCTTGAACAATGTGGAATGTTTTGATCCCACTACTATGCGGGACCCCCGTAACTTCCATGAACATTAAACGAAGCCGAGTTTCCGTCGTCGCCAACGCAAATGCCACATATACCATTGCTGGATATGTGAAAATACTGGCATTCCTTTTTCATGTTTGATTCACTCTTTTTTAATTCCTTTTTCTTTGAATTTGAGTCTCTTTGAATAGATTAGCGTCACTTTCCTTGCTGCTCACCTTCCTCTTCTAGCACACTCTTTGATCTCAAAAATATAAACTACTGATTTGAATTCTAGCTACGATGGCATGTCAAATCTGTCCTCGATGGAAGTCTATCGAAAAGAAACGGATCAGTGGGAACTAGCTACTCCATTAGTATTTCACGAAGGCGGGTGGGAGTGGGTGTGATCCCGATTCCACCTAAAGGATAATCGTCAACACTATTTTAGTATTAATTATCATTATTTCTCGAAGGTCCGCATAATTTGTACTTTTTCAGGTGTAGTTTGTTGTTAAATTTCATCTTCTGTTCCTTTTGAAAGATTTGAATGAGTGTTTGCGCACATTACAGCCATATCTTCATCATTCTTTGTAAGCAAGTCTAACCACTGACAGATAACTCGCCGGTCTTTCTGGATGATTTATAGCATTTCTGTTTGTAGTTTTTTTTTTTCAAATTTTTGTATTTGTAACTAGTAAATATCAAAACTATCTAAGGTGTCTCAACATGCGTTTGGGAATGCCCATCTCAATCGCTCTTGCAAGCATAGTTCAAGTTACGAAGTGTGAGTGACGGACCAAGGGAGGAGCTGAGAGAAGGACGCGAGATTTTGAAAGTAGTTTACATTTGATTGATTTTGATTTGAAATCGTGCAAATGAATTCCTTCTACTAGAGGATACATCCTAGGATTTTGTTCGTGGTTATTAGTCAAGAAAAACTTTGGAAACAATCTTAAAAGTTCTTGCGGAGGTTGTGGTCAAGCCGTGCCATTCCGTTCAAACAAATTCTGTCGCCTTGAAAAACAGTTTCCAGTTTACCGCCACAAATAGGTGATCGGTATTCGCTTTTATTCTACTACAATATGTCTTCTATAAGCCAAAATTGGCACAATGCGCGTCCGTCTCGCCGGCTTCTTCGTCACGTTAGGTATCGTCCCTTCACAGTTGCTGCTACCCTTGGTCTGCGTCTATGAACTGCGGCAACATGCCCAGTGGTTTCTAACATGCAGCGGCCAATAGTTGGTAGCCAGTAGCCTCTCCTGCTTGCTATGATAGGACGCCGCTCGTCCACAATGTTACGCCGCTGATACGTTAAGCGCAAAACGTGGAACAGCCATGTAGGAAGATCGCTGGTACGCAGCGAATGCCAGAGAGCAAAGATTTGCTGCCCCTTCCCCCACCTCTATTTGTCAAAAGCACACGCGTATTTGTCTTTCTTATGAAGGCTTTTTCTTAATTAAAATTTTGAATCAATTCTTGAGGTATTCAATTCTCATAAATGTGCAACTTCTCTATTTGCTAATTGTCCATAGTGATCCTGCATCCACCAACTGAACTGTTAGATTTGTTTCAACAATATTTTGAAAGCTGTTAAGCAAAAACTCTTCATTGTAGTGATTGTTGCAGCAAAGAGAGAAGATTCTGTGGACCTTTACAAAAAAACATGGTTCCGTTTTTTCTCTATGCTGCTTTAATTCGAGAAAATCTTGAGAGGCGGACGAGGAAGGAAGCATCAGAAAAACGATTGAAGTGTATGTAATGATCAAATTACATAAAGAACTTGTATATACTCCCAGAGTTATACCTTTATAAAGGATTGGAAAAGGAATGTAGTCTAAACTGTTGAAAGAAAAGTGGCATGCTCATTCAAATGACCCTGGTGTGGTTCGTGACGCTATATGGGGTTGAGCTGTTTACCATTTTAGTCAATGTATTACTATCACCAATTGCTTCGTAATGATAGCTCTCGTTGCGACTCGAAAACGCAAATAAACATGTTAATGCAAGATGACGGTGTGTTTGATTAAGTACCCTAGAATGAGTGGAAATGTTCACGTGTAGTTCAACAGGTTAACGTGCTGACTCTCGTTGGTCAGAGGAGAGCTCCATCACAGCAGGTGCAATGGTTTTGCGGTCGACTTTTCAGTGCACTGTGATTACCAGTAAAATCGAAAGGCTACAGAAGCTCGCGAACCTCACGCCCAAAACATGAGCTTGTCATGAGGTTCGCGAGGTCGCCGTCATGTCTTATGCCAACATGCGGAGTGGATTACTATGGACCCTGAAAACACACGAGTGGTGGAATGGCCCAGAATTTTTGAGATTACCTCATGCAATGTGGAACGCGCAAATATTCCAATGGCCAAGATCAGACGAAAATACCGTTTCAGAAGAGGAACAAGCGCTAATAGGCTTGGCAGTGGCAATGCCCGAAGAAAAACAACATTTCCCTCTTAGCCGCTATTCATCGTTGCGAAAATCCCAACGCATAGTAGCATGGGTCTTGCGATTCTTGCGAAGATTGCTGGCTAAAATGCCACAAGCAATCACTTCCCGCATATGCAAAAATATTTCCGAGTTAGGAGAGATGGTATCATCCGCAACTCTTACAGCCGCAGAGATGCGACAAGCAAAATTATACTGATAAAGGAACACCAGTCGCTTGTGCTCAATCCAGAATACATCAAATCGATGGATCGCTGAAATTGTTCAAGGATAGCGCGGGAGTTTGGAGGGCAAGAGGACGTCTGGGATTTCCAGCAATAAGCGATGATGCGAAATTCCCCATTTTTGTCGGACCTAAAAGCACACTAGCCCTCAGAGTAATATCGGAAGCCCATGGAGAATATCACCGGGGGATTGCACACACTATCTGCACTGTCAGAAGGGAATACTGGATTCCTAAATTACGAAAACAGGTGCGATCTTTCATAGCCGGATGTATCCGATGCAAACGATTCAACGGGCCCCTTATAAATACCCAGAAATGTCAGACTTACCATCAAGAAGAGTGCAACAAACTAGGCCTTTCGAACACATCGGGATAGACTTCTTTCACCTTTTGCAAGTAATGGACAGCCACGAAAGCATCAAAACTTATGGTTGTATCTTTACATGCACGGCACCAAGACTCATACACTTAGGAGTACAAAAAAAGATGAGCGAAGAGTCATTCATAAATGCCCTCAGACGCTTCTTCGCGAGACGAGGCATACCAAAATCAATTACGAGCGACAATGCGCCAACCTTCCAACTTACAGCAGTGATAATGAAAGACGCAAACCAGCAAAATTTACTGGAAGACTTCGCGATCAACGAGAGATTGACTGGAGAACAATTACACCATATGCCCCT